TTCTAGTCATTTCCCACATAAAGAAACACCAAAGTCCAAACAATCTGTCACACATGTACTGATTAAATAATGAACTGTTAATACATGCCCTTGTTAACTTTATATCTATACTTGATAATACCCAGACACAGTAGCTTATCTAGCTTTTAACTTTAAGGAAGCCATTGGTTATCTTCTGAGAAAAAAAACCTAGTAACAGATCTCCTCATTAACTACAACCTTCTTAAATTTAAGTGGCAGATCCAAACTTGTATATAAAACAATAAAATAAAAATGAACAGGAAAGATTATTCTCACATTTTGATAACAAAATAGGAAAACCTAGCAAAAAAGCCAACATAGATGGTCTAGGTTATACTTGTCCATAACATTTTAGTTTTTATTTTAAAGCAAAAACAGCACAAAAAACATGTTGTTGAGCTGCTGGGCCTGGGTTTGATCTCTTAGGCTCTGCTGACATCCCTGCGTCATTGCCAACCAAGAATGCCTCGTTACAAACCAAAGAATTCAATACGCCATTAACTTAAATCACTTAACCCTAAACCCTAAACCCCAAGAATGCCTCGTTACAAACCAAAGAATTCAATACGCCATTAACTTAAATCACTTAGTAGTTCATATACGCCTTCCAAGGTACAACAAAGTTTTTGACCATCTGTTTTCCGGATGGGTGGTTCGCTGGAACTAACTTACGAGGTTTAGTCTTTGATTTCTAGATGGTCCAAATCGGTTAGGACCGTTCGCAGCTTTCCGCTGGCTAGCAAATAGCAATCTCCACCAAATAGCACCCACTCTCTCTGATGCCAGAGCAATCTATTCGAAATTTGTTTATGCGTTTGGGAGGAAAATTATCTCAATTCTTTCATTACACTTCCATTTACCAACTCTACAAACACAAAAACAACTGTCGTCTCTTTTCCTCTTTTTTTTAATCTTTTAGGACTTTTTGTTTTACACAGTGTCAAACAATAAAACAAAAGGAAAAACCTTAATATTAAGATTTCTTCCCTTCATCAAATGCTTTTATTGTAGGTCTAAACTGCACGAAACTTTTCTATTTTTTAAGAACCTATTTTTTTTTCTTTTCCCTTACACCAATGCTACCTCTTTGTTGAAAATCCAGCTAAACTTCACCCCATGTGCCTTCATTTTCTTCGCCCGCTCATCCGCACGCTCCTGCAACTTCCTAATTCTCGGCGCTAACCCACACACGAACTGCTGTGCTTGTCTCCCCTCTCCCGTCAATCCCTCCATCTTCTCCAGCTTCCACCGCGCAATCAGCGCCTCCAGTATATCCGCGTAATCATCCGCCGTGTACACACCCATCCGCTGCGCCACCGCCGAGAAGTGCTCGAAGAGCCGCGGATCCTTCCCGTCGAACATCATGTGGGCCGGCATTGTTATTCGTTTCTTCATCATGTCGGCTATCGCCATCATTGCTCCAGTGGGATCCACTTCCAACAGCTTTTCCACGATCCTCGAGTAGGCGTGTTCGTGCCTCTTCTCGTCCGCTGCGATGGTGCCGCATATCCTCGCTAGCACTGGATCTCCGCCGTCCTTCGCTAACCGGGCGGTGTTGCCGTGAGACACGAAGGTGGCGCGCTCTTGGAAAGATGTGTACACGAAGCCCAAGTACGGGTTGTTTTCCGTTCCAGGATCCTGTCACGTGATTTTTCATTTCAATACTCCATTTTAATTCTTACCAATAAATAAATAAATAAAATAAAATAAATAATAGTCCATTTTAATAAAAATAGAAATAAAAAATAAAAATTTTCAATTGAATGAACCATGGATATAGACCCGAAGAGTTTCGCGAGGTTTATGGTTCAATATAATTGAAATTATAAAATAATAAATTTTACAAAAAAAAATAATTGCTTAAAAGCACCTCTCACATCAATGGTGATAAAATTTACAGTTCGAGCCACCAACTCTAAGTAGCATTTTAAATAAAGAGATTAGTTTTTCACTCTAAATTACATAAATTTACAATTTAGATTATGAAAATATTAAAATATACAAGGATTAGTTAAATATACTTAAGTAATTTTGTAGGTATAAAAAAGAATAGATTTTGCTTAAATAATAAATAAGAATTAAAAACTCACCATGCCGGATCCAATCAGATACTGCACGGTCTTCTCAATCTGGAGCATATCAACCCGACCCGATAAATACAGAAATGTCCTGAGCAAATCTCCATGTCTGTTTTCCTCTGCTGTCCAAGCCCGAGTCCACGACGCCCAAACGCTCGGGCTGGCTCCGGTCTCGTCTTTGACCCCATCAAGCGTGTTGATCATTGTCTGGTATGTAGGCAGCGCGTCCTCGGTGATCATGTCGCCCACCAGCACCACAAAATACTCGTCCGGCAGCTCCGCCGTGCGTTCGCGGAGAGCCTTCACCTGCTCCGTGAAATCGGCAATTGGTAGCGACGGGTCCGGCAGGAATGTCTGCGGTTGCCAGCAATCTTCGACGGGTTTGAGAAGAGGTAAGACATTTTTGGCGGCCCAGTTCTCGAGTGACTTGAATACTTCAGCTTTCTCCGGCGGCATTGAGTGGATCTTCTGGATTTTTGGTGGTGCCGCCACGGCGGAGGTCGGCACTCTTACAACGGAAATTGGTGGAGTGCGGCCGTGGTGAGGCAGATCGAGGCTACGTGGGATCCATATAGTTGCAGGACTTTTGGTGGAGAGGAAGTGTGAGACTTGCATGGTGGCGCTTCGGCGTTTCAGTCTGCGGACGAGGGGAGGAAGTGTAGATATATAGGTGGGAAGGCTAACTCTTCTACCCCTCTTTTGTTTGTAATTACAGAAATGCCATTTCCCTTTTGTTCCTGTTTTCCCCCCCTTTTTTTTTTTTTTCTTTTATGAGCTTCTCTTAAAATTTATAAGGAGACATGTTATGTTAAAACTTGACAAATGTTAAAATTTAAAAATATAATAAATATATAGTTTTATAACTAATTTATATGAAAAATAATAAAATTAACTTTTATTTTAATGTTATTATTATATATTTAGTTTGAATTAATCAACTAATTAAATTTAAGTCAATTTTTATTATTTTTTATGTAAATTAATTATAAAAATATATATTTATTACACATTCAACTTGTATACTAAAAATATATGATAAAAAACCCTTTTTCTATTGGCATTAAAATGAAAACTACCACTAGAGTCTGCAGATTTTCAATCCAAATTGGTAAGAAAATATAGATTTAGACTACAACTATTCCATTGACTTAACTTATCTAACTTAATTTTTAATTTGAGATTTTTAAATTTAATTATGCATTTTTTTAGAATGTCATTATGTGTTAAATAAAAAAAATATTTAAGTTATTATTAATTAGCAATAAATAAAATATTTTATTAATTAATTACTATATTTTTATTTTATCAGACAACAATTAAAACTGCTAAGAAGTTAAACAGGGGAGGAGCTAAATTGTCCTTAATAAATTAATACACGTTTTAATTTATTATAGATATTTTAATCATTTTCAATCTAAATTCATAATTTTTTAACTCATCCTCGCTAAAAAAAAAACATTTATAAAGCTGTTTATTATTTACCCTTAAAAAAAGTAATAAAAGTGACGATTTGAGAGTAACGAAGGGTATGATAGTAATTTAGAGTATAAAAGGAAGTAATTTTTGGAATAGCAGTGAAAGTGGAGAAACCAGGGGTGGGCGGTGGTGCGGCGCAGTGGTTTTCAGGAGACTAGTGATTCTGTGGGTTTTGTTGGTTTTTGAATGCTCTCATTGCAAAGAGTGTTTTGGTCGGCATGACCCCGTCCTATGCCCTCAAACTTATTGTCTTTTGAGAGTTTTAGCCTCGGACATACTAAATGAGTATTTTACCCCCTTAAACTTCACATTAATTAAATAATTAGCCCAAACTTGACGGAAGTCTGTCAAGTTCGTTTGTGTTCCGTCTAGCGTTGCTCCAGCATGACAAAAAATCAATGTTGCAGATCGTGCGTAGCATGTGGTCTTATAATACTTTTAACAAATATGTCGGCCACGGGCTATTATCACACATAAATATCAATTTATTAGCAGCTACCAATTATTACTAACAATGAAACCAAACCAAACCAAACCAAACCAAACCAAGCCACCTTGGCAGAGAGCCAATCAATTATATGACAAAGTGGTAAGGGTTAAGTGATTTGGTACCTTAGTTTTGCTTTCGAGTTTAACCATAAGCATTTATTCTCCACTCTTTAATATTTAGTTGTATTGTAATTGTTTTATTTAAAAAAAATAAAAATAAAATAAAAAATAAAAACACCTTAGGAACTATATAGATGTAGACTCTCTTTCTGCCAAGGTTATGGCTTTCCCTAACCTTTTTTTTTTCTATCCTCTATTTATTTATATTTTTTATTTCCTTTTCTTTTATTTACTTTTCTTTTTGGATTAATCTTTATGTTCATTAGGTTATCCTTTTTTTTTACATAACTACATTTGTAATGACTAATATGAGAATTTTTATCTTTTTTATTTATTTCAATCTTAGTTAGAGTTTGTGAAAGTTTATGTTCTTTCTTAATATTTTAGGTGTGTGTAGTTTATGAGAAGTTTAATATGACTATTGATTTTATGATAAGGGTGAAGCTTCTTCTCCAATTATTTCCTTAAGTACTAAATTGAAAAGGAGCTTTTTGAGATATAGTTGTTTGTGCATAATGGTTAGGGCACGGCAACAACAATTTACATTTAGAATAGAACAATATTTTTATGTGATAAATGTGATGAATTGGCTATGAGAAGTCATTGGGCATCACTTGAGGGTGGAGATGGTGGAGCATTGACCAATGGCGTCACAAATTGTTCATACAAAGAGACAACAATGTTTGGCAACCATTTCTTATATGAATTTTTTGAAAGGTGATGACTGAAAATTTTGACACTCATTTAATTATGGGAATCCTTGCCAAATTATTCAACCTACAAATTTGGAATTGAAGCAAATATTTAAAAAAAGCAATCCGGTAGATGGAGGGGAAAAGGAGGTTCATTATACGCCTACTTAAGTTTGTAGTATTTTATTGTTATAAATGAAATTTATGTTTTCATTAAAAAAAAAAATGAAAACAAACACTCCATAGATATTAATTGTTCCAACATACTTTTGAAACCCCATTTCTAAACCAACCACATGCCACGTGTAATCCGCAACGTTGGTTCACATGATTTAAGATATATTAATTGACTTTGATAATGATATATAAATAATTTATTTATATTAATTTTTATTTATAATATTTACATGTCATTAATTACACAAGAGAATATATATTATATTATAAATTTTAATTATTAAATAACATATAATATTATATAAAAATGATACACAAAAAATTATCCATTACTTATTTTTTTTTTTTGAACAATTTGTAATTATTTACAGGGTTAATTTGGAGAAAGGGAAAAAAGGTTTCGTAAGACTCAAACCTACAACTCACGGAGGTGAACAACCCTAAATCAAGGTCCGATACCACTAGGTCGGAGCGGGTTGTTCATTATTTTTTTTTTTTTTATTTACCTCATTGTCATTAATGGTAATACATAAAAACAGAAAAATTGTTAATTTTTTAATTAGAGGTACTATTTTATGAGACCACATGCCACTTTATTTATGAGACCACAGGCCACGTCTGAACTGCAACAGTAATTATTTAAAGGTTGATGCTAGACGGAACATAAACGGAACATAAACGGACGTGACAGGCTTTCATAACGTACAGTTAAAGATTAAAATGCTCATATTAAATATTAAGAGGTTAAAACTCTCAAAAGACAATAAATTCGAGGGCAACAGGGGGGGTTAAGCACGTTTGGGTTCGGCCTCTCTATTTTAACGTTTTAGTATCTTCCTCGGCCGAACAACTTCTGAGTAGTGAAATTGTTAAACAAACCTTAATTAATTGTTTTACAAGTTAATAGAAGTCGTCTTTTTCAGACTTTTGTCAGTCAACTTGCAATTAGACCAGATTCTGTTGAAAAAACTTAAGGATCAAAATTTTTTCCTTCCTTCGAAAGAAAGATGGGAGACTTAAAGGGCATCTTCTTCCCAACGGTGACACACTGACCCAAGGTACAAATATCCTTACATTTTTTTTTTTCTAAAAAATAGCCAATGGAAATATCCTTACACGGTTAGTATAAATACATTCATTTCGAACTTCACCAAGCGGTTTGATGGTTGCGTGTCTCATTGAGGTTGGTAAGCTGTTCACCAAATCTGAGGATTAAAAGTTGTTAACATTTAACAATACTAATCTACTAACCATTGTTCTTATAAAAAAAAAACATTCATCTCCATTTGCCTAGTTTCAAAAAAATAATAATAAGAATACATTCATTTAATACAAAAAAGTTATAATAACTTCAAGAATTATATTCTTAGTAAGGAGATGTAATTTTACAAGTAAAATTTAAGAATTTAACTTTTGAGTTAGACAATTACAAGTTTATTTGTTTTTAAATATAAAAAATTATTGTGAGTGTATATTTTTCAAAGTAAAAGATATCTTAATACATTTTGAGTTTTCAAGTTAAACAGATAAAATAAAATTAAACTTACAGAATAAATTTATGTTAAATAAGTAGATATATACATCAAAGATAAAAATTGATAGCAAAATTATAAATAAAAGGTACAAACATTTGCGCAGGTGTATATGTACGAATTTTTATAAGCCTTACAATGGGCACAAGTCTTCAAACAGCATAAAGGAAGATAAAGCACGGATTAACCTAGGAAAATCCCAGTTTAAAAATCTGTTACACAACCAAACCATTGTTGAGTGGGAAATTCTCAACCGAATATATAACAAAGAAACTTGTAAATTAAATATAAAGAGAGTTTTTTTATCTATTATTAATTGATTTTAAATTAACTATAAATCTTGTATTGAAACTCATATGCATAATTTACATATGGTATCAGAGCTCAAGTCTCAAAATTGATACTAAACTTACCTTCTTAGCACTGCTGCACATAAATTGGTGTATATAATGAGTCAATCAATTTTAAGTTAAATATAAATCTTGTGTTAAAACTCACATGTACAAGTTTCACAATCATTTCCTATACTCGTGCAACTAATTAGGTCAAAAACCAATATCCCACCGCCTCAATGAAAATAAAAGAAAGAAAAAGAATTGTACAAGGGTAATGATACATCTACATTTTAACCCACACCTCCGGCCACAAACTGATTAAAAAATAAATATTCCATGGTTTGGAATTAGCTGAGGGAAGGCTTAATCCTGTTATCATTCATAATTAATACGTGTTAGAAGCAAACACCCCTAAATTTCGTGTCATTGAGCTTCTCCATCTTCTTCCTCTTTGGGGACTGTTGGTGCTGGGTTTTTCAGGTAAGCTTTCAATTTCACATCTATGAAGAAATGTAAAAAATTTTCTCACATTTCACCCAATCGGAAAAAGCAACCATCTTCTTCGGAGCATCCGTTAAACGTT